GTTCTGGTGGAGCATTTTCTCTTTGATCAGTTCATCAGTCTCTTGTTAGTGTCTCTTTTGAATGTCTCTGAACACATGTAGCTTTTTCAGTCCTCAGTAAATCCTGGGCATAAAGTTCATGTCACAAGTGTCCACAGCCATTTTGCTCTTTGTGTTTTTTCACACACCTTTCCATTTGCCAGTACACTCAGAGATGTCTGGTAGGTACGAGACTACAGTCCCCCAAAGTTCATCCCTATGTCCCCTTAATTAATATATATAGAATTTAGCTTATGACTTAATAAATCTTATTATTTTTTTATCTTATTTTCCTTCATCAAATAAAGAGTGAAGCACAATCTGAAGCCAAAAAAAAAATTATTATAAGGACATTTAACAAATAGAAAATTAAGCATATTTACATATGATAAAAATTATTGAGAATTAGAAAAAATAAGTTGTTAAACAGCAAACAAAAATAAATTAATTAATGAATTAATAAAAACAAATTGGATAAAAGGAGGGATAAATAGAGCCCCGTAGAAAAGGAAAAAGTATTCACATTTCAAACGAGAAATGAGTGAGATCAGCAAGACTATTACTTATGCTATGTTCAATAAATAATGTTGGATATAATAGTCTGATATATACTAATCAAGTCAATAAAAGCTGTTTAAAAAAAAATACTCATTGTAAAATAACATATTTATGCCTGGCTTTCATATATGTCATAAATATATGCACAATGACCTTATTCAGATAGTCTTTAGTTCACTAAAAATAGTATTTGTTCCATTTGATAACAAAAAGACTTTAAACTACATTACCCACAATCCTTTGTCGCTGTATAGATGGGACGCGAAAGACATGGCGCTACAAATTGTAGTTCATTGAAAGGTGTAGTTAGGGTTAAGTTTAGGGTTACGATCTTGGTTAATCGGTAACTATTTGAAACACAGCGATAACTCATTGATAAAGGACACTGTTAGTAAAGTGACAAAGTTAGCAAAACATAGTTGGCAACACGAAGGATCTTTTAATTTGGCTTTGAAGTTATAGTCCAATCACAACGTCGCAATCTACGTCACACTTTGTCTCTATTTGGTAATCTTCCGGCTGAAGGTAGATTATAATAACCTTATAATATAACTTAAATATCAAAATGTGTATTAATATTACATGTTATTTATTGTCTTATTAAAAATACAAATGTATATTTACCGTGAGGTTCCTTTGTGGGGGTAACCTGATGTGCAAAATGATCATAGTAAAACCAGATCATAGGCAGTATACTAAATTTGAAACGAATAATAAAATAATAAAAAAAGCATCATGTTTGAAAACATTTCCAGCATTTTCTGTAACTAAACACACTGCGTCCTGTAGGTATACAAATATAAATATATGTCAAACTTAAATGACAAATATAGTGCCCATTAAATAGTAAAAATAGTAGTTCATTGTAAATGAGTATGCAAATAAACACAATACATTTTTAATGAAACATTTTTAATTTATTTATAATGCCACAAATAAAATAAATAATAAAAATCACGCAAAAATGCAAAAACCAAACATATATATATTTTATAACAGTTTTTAATGCAATAATATATTACCATACATATATAAATGATTAAAAACAATTATAATTGAAGGAAATGTATATTTTGTATTTTTATTATTATTATTATAATTATTTTGTGATATTTATTCATGTCATGCATCTGGTATGTCAAGCTCAAGTAAAACTGCACTGCAATAAATCTTTTCAAATGATGCCTTTGGAAATGCCATTATAATAAACAGCTTTCACAACAACAAGAAGTCAAGTTCATGACAAATGCAAATTATGTTTATAATAACAACTTTCTGAACTTAAACATCAAAAGTAGAATAAGTTCAAAACATATTTAAGTATTTACGGAAGAATAGCAAAAACAATTTTTACAAAACACTGAGAACCAAAGTGTGCTTGGTGAGTCCAGGTGTTTATGCTGACTAGACTGTCATATTGCAATCCGGTTAGCATGAGGAGACTTGGGCGTAAAGTGTCAGGAATTCCTGGAGGGCTCCCATGTGTTATTCCAGGTTTTGCCACTGTTAAGTATTAGAAGAGCACAATATCATTACTGAACAAAGAATGAGTGTTAGGTTTCATTTAGAAAGTTCAGTGATATTTATTTATATATGTAAAGTGTCATTAAACCTGGCACTCTTGAATTAACTGTATAATAGGTTAAACATTTCCAGCATGTTTCCATGTATTCCAAGCAGATCTGTCAGTTCTAAATGTAACATCAAGCTTATTTACAAACAATTTAAACGCTTATCATTGGTGATTTTAACTGTCATCATCTAGGAGTTGTTAAACCCTTAGTAGAGGACAAAGCTTTTACCTTTTCTCTTAAATATCCTGTAGCACCTAAGGTTAAGGCAACTCATTACATAATTTTATTCAGGATATACCATGTGAAGGAGTTTATTCAAAAAAGATTTAACTTTGATGTTGACAAGTGTAGCTTCTGCTCCAGAAACACTCGATCACTTATTTTTTTCTTGTGAATTTACTTTTAAATTCTGGTTTGACATCCATACTTGGCTTTCAATAAAGATGATTTCAGTCCCCCATATTGTTCTAGAAGATATTTTATTTGACAAAGCTGATTTACATTGTTCTTTCTCTGATGTTGTGAACTTTATTTTACTAATGGGTAAATATCATATTCATTGCTATAAGTGGAAAAAGTACAGACCCTCTTTTAGATGTTTTCTTTCTGAGGTAGAGAAAGTGGCTCAAAGCTTCAAATACTTCAGAAATCAAAGTAAAATAACTGAAGCTCTCTGTACTTTATTTTTAAAACATTTATTGTCATAATGTTTTGTTTTTCTTTGATGTAGATCTTTTGTTGCAGTTGTAACAAATTAAATTTATTTTATATATTTTAATGTTAAATATGCCTTGCGATATCGATTGCAACAGTAAGTGGCCAAAAAAAAAAAAAAAACTGAACAAAAAAGACTTTTATTTTGGCGTGGTGTGTGACGTCATTAGGCGGCGCCGCTTCCGCGCTGCAGTTCAACTGGAGGAAGGTTTGTTTCACAACTTTACACATATAAACCGATTGATTAAAGTTTCAGGTTTTTCTTCCAATATGACATACCTACTGTTGACTTTTATTTTAATTCTTTATACAACGAATTACTATTTTAATCACAGTAATCGAGGGCTATTGTTTGAACAACAGAAATGTGTTTTAATGAAGGTTTTATTTATTTACTAGCATAATGTCATTCTAATATAAGTATACAATATTCTATATATATATATATATATATATATATATATATATATATATATATATATATATATATATATATTTAAATAAAATAAATGGAGAACTAGTTTTTTATTAGGTCATTTGTTTGTGGCTATTGTTTCTTGCTCAGACTTACCTGATTTATTTTTGTCAATCACTCTCATATAAAGAAACTGTTGAAGAGAAGTTATTTTGCTTCTGTTCATTGTTTTGTTTTTTTTAAACAGAATAAAGTGTCCAGAGGCAGAGAAAAACTCCTGCTGAAACGACTGATCTCCACACTGTTATAAAGATGGCGTTTATTAAAGAGGAGAGTGAAGATGTGAAGATTGAAGAAACATTCACAGTCAAACAGGAAGATCTGCAGGAACACACAGGTTTATTTTCATTCTCAAATACCAACTCAGTCATTTGATCTTCATTCAGATATATTTTAATAATAAGAATACTAAATTAAATCCATCTTGCAGCCCTGAGTGTGCTGCCTAGTTCTCTTAAATGCACATAAGCACTTATTGAAAGACAGGAACGAGTTTCTTTTGTTACTTGTTCTCAGGTCTTTTGTCATTATTTTATGTATTATTAGTCTCCCATTTTCTCTACCTTCTTAAGGTTGTTGCTTTTTTTGTTCTCCTACTGTTTGTAAGGTGTCCTTGAGCACTAAAAACGTCCTTGAGCACTAATGTCGTTTTAAAATTATTATTGAACGAATCCTTATATTTGCGCGTCACTATACAAATTTATCAGGACTTTGATAAAATGAAAATGGAAAGGATTGGAAGGACATTTGCTGTGCTCTATCATTGATAGGGAAAAGGAAACTCTTTGCTAGATTGACATTGTATCCAGAAACATTTCCAAATTCTGAAATTATTGTAAAAACTTTTGGAATACATGTATCTGGATTCGACAGAAAAAGAAGATCATCAGCATATTATTATTAATATAGTCAGTCGTCGACTGAGGTGGGCCGGACTAAGGCTTGAAATTCCAGAGCTAAAAAGGAGTCCCACTCCGGCCCTGTTCCCTGTCTGCTTTACACATTTTAGAAAAACATTTTGTTGTAATTTTAAATATATACAAATAAAAATTCCATTTACAGCTTTCAAATCTGTCTTATTAATATGACCAAAATTACTTTTATGATCAATTATGTAAGAAAGTCTAAAAACTGGACTGACACGGTTTTAATTTACTATAACTTCTATGTTAAGTGGCTTTGACAAAATTTACATTGTAAAAGCACTAGATAAATAAAGATGAATTGAATTGAATCTGCTTAAATGTGTACATGTTAATGGACCAAACAAAAAATGATCTGATTTATTTTACATTTACCATGCATCAAAGTTGCAGTGTGTGTAGCCAATGTTTCCAGTGTCTTTTCACTTTTCAGCTTTTGATGAGAGTTTTTAAGACTTAATGAAAACTAATGTTTTATCTATTTCAGACCTAATTGAAGAGAATGAGGGGAGAAAAGAGGAGGAACATCATGTCAAAATTGAGGAAAAAACTCATTTACAGACTGATGGTATTTTGAAAAGGGGAGACAAAAATAGTTTCACCTGCACTCAGTGTGGAAAGAGTTATGGAAGTAAAGACTATCTTAAGATTCACATGAGGATCCACACTGGAGAGAAACCATTCACATGCAATCAGTGTGGGAAGAGTTTTGGAAGAAAAAGGGAACTTAAGATTCACAGGAGGATCCACACTGGAGAAAAACCATACACATGCACTCGGTGTGGGAAGAGTTTTAGCCAATCATCAAACTTAAATCAACACATGAGGATCCACACTGGAGAGAAACCATTCACGTGCACTCAGTGTGGAAAGAGTTTTAACCGATCATCATCCCTTAATGAACACATGATGATTCATACCGGAGAGAAACCATTCACATGCACTCAGTGTGGGAAGAGTTTTGGAAGAAATTTCGATCTTAAGATTCACATGATGATTCACACTAAAGAGAACCCATTCAGATGCACGCATTGTGGGAAGAGTTTTAGCCAATCATCATACCTTAATCAACACATGAGGATCCACACTAGAGAGAACCCATTCACATGCACTCAGTGTGGGAAGAGTTTCCACCGATCATCATCCCTTAATAATCACAAGACGATCCACACTAGAGAGAAACCCTTTACTTGCACCCAGTGTGGAAAAACCTTTAACAACTCATCACACCTTTATGAACACATGCGGATCCACACTGGAGAGAAACCATTTACATGCACTCAGTGTGGGAAGAATTTCAACCAATCATCAAACCTTAATCGACACATGAGGATCCACACTAGAGAGAAACCATTCACATGCACTCAGTGTGGGAAGAGTTTCATCTGCTCATCATCCCTTAATCTACACATTATGAGCCACACTGGAGAGAAACTTGCACTTAAGCAGCGGTCACAATGGACTTTTTTCCCCATGGATTTCCATTCATACGCACGGGAATGTGTCAGACCGGAAACCAAGTTTGTGTGTCAAGTTTCGCAGTTCACTGCATTGCAAAGTTCAAGCTTGGTGAACTCTGACCTGCAAAATCGCATCACTTGACTGTGTGAGACCAATCAAAGGTCAAAACATGACCTTTATGGACAGAAATGTAAAATATGGACCAATAGCTCGCTTTTTTGTCTAATAATCTTGTTTAATCCCGCCGCTTTTCACAGTGCCAAACAACAGAATTTTGCATGCTCAAACTCTAGTGTGACCGCAGCTGCGGTGTGGGATGAGTTTCAGCAACTCCTCAGACCTTAATAAAGACCCACACTGGAGATAAACCATTAAATGCACTCCGTGTGGGAAGTTTCAACCGATTAGCAAACCTTAATGAACACATGAAGATCCACACTGGTGTGAAAGAGTATATGTGCTTGAGTGTGAGAAGACTTTTATTTCAAAATTTAAACTGCACCCGACGTTTCACACTGGAGAGACCGTACAAGTGTTCACACTGTGACAAGAGGTTTAATCAGTAACACATCTGAAAACACAAAAGAGGATTCACACTGGAGAGAAACCATACAGATCTGATCAGTGTCTACAGAATTGGACAAAAGTTGCACACATGACATGAATGCAGCAAAACATTTTCTCTGTGCATAATGTTTGAAAAGGCTGAGTGACGATATACTGTTTTCCAACACTCCTACATTGCAGTAGGTGGGGTTGTAAATGTGTTGCGCTCCTCGCGTTTACCGTAAACACAATGATGGCGGCTGAGAGAAGAACAGTTTCATAAACATCTGACAAACAGCATCTCAGCAGCTTAAAATCTCTCTTTGCAAGTGATTGTACAGGTGCGGATACATCTGTACTCCACTCTCCAGTGTATTCATGTAGCTAGTGTTGTTTTGGATGATGTTCTCTGTCTGACTACCTGAATGAGTAGCATCACTGGAAAGACACAAATAAATAAAGATGTATTGTATTATGAATATTTGATGATTTAGACAGAGCGACAGGTATTAAGTTTTACAATATTAATACACTTTGATGATCCCAAGACTCCAAATTGGAGTATGTGGTAAATCCTGATTGGATGCCTGCATTACTCATCTATGGGTATATAAAAGTTGTTGTGCTAGGCTGCTAGCTAATCCAGGACGCTGTGGCTACTCAGGAGTCCTCCTGTCAAGACCTGCCATCTCATTAAATCTTTAACCTTATGGTTTTGTTTTGCATTGCTTGTATCATGTAGCTAAAGTGTTGTTGTGATTATATCCTAAGTTCTTTATCTTCATTATTATCCCTAGACATTTTTTGGTTGCTTTGATTGATGGTTTTATGAGTTACATTTTATAATAAATAATTTGCATTCAGGCTATTTTGTTGGCTCATCTCCCTTTTATGTTGCGACTCAAACAAGCAGGTCATAACACTTTCTGAAATGTGTCCGGTTGTATTTAAGATCCTGTCCTTTCAGTCATGACCATAGGTGAGAGTAGGAACCTTGATTGAGCGGTAAATTGAAAAAATTGCCTTTCACCTCAGCTCGTTCACCACAACAGACAATCACATCAACTGCATTACTGCACTGATCCATCTTTTAATCTCACATTCCATTCCTCATGAAAAAAACGCAGATACTTGAGCTACATTTGAGTTAAGGACTTTCCTTCAAATTGGAGATGGCCACCTTTTTCCAGTCGAGCACCATGGTCTCTGACATAGAGGTGCTGTTTCTTTCCCTGCCATGTCACACTCAGCAGTAAACAGCAGTGGTGGGAGTAACGAATTACAACTACTCATGTTACTGTAATTAAGTACATTTTTAGGTAATTGTACTTCCATGGGTAAAATTTTAAGCCTTTACTTTTACTTGTACATGAGTACAAATTAAGCTGAGTAATCTACTTCGTTACTTTTAAAATCACAATTCGTTACAGAGTACTGTAAATAAATTAATATTTCAAGCACGCACTGACCAGCATTTCGGTAGCCAATAAAAAAAGTTCATCTTAATGGACCAATGAAAAGCCTGGTATATTATTTGAACCGAAAAACAAGTTCAGGCTACTGCAGATTTACGTGACCGTCCATCTATTAGCTCAATGACGAAACTAACAGCATGGTCGAAGGTTTAATGCATGTAAGCCTTTTCTAGTGCTTATGAAAAGAATTTTATTATTTATTAGAATTTATTTATATTAATTTATTAGCTCCGAATTCATCTGACTCCAATTTAAATGATCCTAAAATTTAGATTATATTTCTAATTGTAAGAACGGATCACATTCATCATTTATGATTTAATTTAGAGTTTTGATATTTTCTGAGGTCCGATATTCTAATTGTACGTTCATTAGGGACCTACGTCGCTCAGAGTTCCACGCCCCGGGTTTGCGTTTCTTCTCACGGACAATATGTCGGCACTCTGAAAATAGTCAGAGGATGCAGGATTAACTAATATTTAGATAGGCTGGTTGCCTTAACGCTCACCTAATTTCCTAAATAAACAGATTTTAGCCAAGCCCGTGCAACTTGCTATTCCCAGTGGTCGAATGATTAACAGGTCTACATGTTATCGGCACGCAATGGCTACGAATAATCAAATGCGCCAATTAAATCAATTTCGATTATGCCGTATGATAAGGGTAACGAGACTCCACATAATCTACTGGATACAATGAATTCGCAAAACTCCAGAATTAATCAAAACTTAACATTTTATTTGTCAGGTAAAATTGTATTCTGCCAATTACATAATAAATCATCAGGAAGCCAATTCAGAGATGAGACTGTAACAATACAACATCCATTAATCAAAGATAAATCAAAGAGTTAAGAGATGCATACCTGACCACAGAAATACATTGCAGCATAAGTCTCAGAGATGCTGCAATGGGGTGTCTTTTTACAAGATCTCCCCCCCGTCCTAAAGCACATCTTAGCTTATATACTCAAGTCAAAACAAACAGCCATAAATTCAAGACAATAGAAGTGTCACAGAAACTCTGGCCTGGTCAATTTAAGAACTTAATCATCTCTTAGGAGGGAGAGCATCTTATCAAGATCTTATAGAAGTCAAAAACCAAATAAACATATACCAGTAAAATATTACTGTAAAATTAAGACCACTTTACCAATCACACAGAGACATTTAAAATGATACCAAACATGAATATAGTGATGCAAGATACACCATATTAAAACCTTGAACATTTTATGTGAAATGTGCTCTAATCAGAAGGTAACATAAGGGTCAAGAAGGGGGTTTTAAGTGGAAGGAGAAGGGTGACTTCTTCGCATTACCCCCTGCTGTTGAGTAGCTCTGTTTCTCCAGCCTGTGATTGCATTGTCAACAGTGATTTGAATAGAACAGTGGAACAGTTGGTTTCTTCATCACTTCTCAGATTAGAAAATCCATTGGAACTTTGCATCTTGTCTCATGAAATTCCATAACAGTTCTTATGGTCTGATATTTTGGATCCTTACAGTCATCATACAGTCACAAAGTTATCAATTGACATATGGAGATTTAAGACAGAAGAAATGAGGAAGAAAAAGCAGAGGATGAATGCCCATGGCCACACCCGGAGGAGCTGTTCACCTACAGGTACATAGGGAAGAAAGGGGACAGCTGTGCTGATGCAGTGTGAATAGCTATGTTATCATCTAAAATGCTAATTAAATGTATGCCCAAAACTAGAATATCGCATAAAAGACTATGCAAATAAAGCAGCGTTTCCATCCAACAAGTCAAAGAGAACAAAATCACCACCTTCTGATTAACTGGAGACAAACATCAAAAGTAAAAACAGAATATGCATCAGTGGGAGCAGCTACGGGATTATATTATCTTTATTTAATAAATGACTTGCGCCTCAGAAGGCAATCCTGACACGCTGTGAACGCGCGCTGGTGTTTGAAGTCGCGAGACACGGAGTGCAAACACTCTTGACAATTTTGGGGGTCATTAAAATATTAATATAATAACAATACTGAAATGGTTGAGGCGGTTTAAAATGACCAAAACAACACTTTAGATGTTTTACAATGTGCTTAGCCTGCTGTTTTGTCCATTCACACACATTTTCCAATAATATGCGCATTATAGAGTTTCCATCAACCGTTTTTATGTGCATATCCAAAAAGCGCAGAAATAAGTGGATGAAACCTGCACTCTGCTGTGCCATCTGGCTTACACAGGGTTTCCGTGGGGTCTTAACAGGTCTAAAATATAAACATCTAAATTTTAGGCCTTAAAAAGCCTTAAATTCGCTGTTCTAGGTCTTAAATATGTTTGCACAGGTCTTATTTTCCGATGTACATGTAACGCTACTCCTAATGCTCATTTAAACAATTTTTTGTTGTTGCTTGGTTTCGTGGTGGTGTAGTTCTTTATTTCACTAGTCCCAATGTAATTTGCGGTATTAAAACTACAAATAAGACCAGCATGGAATAGCTCAGTGCGCGCGGTATATGTGACGTCATTGCCGTGTTTGCGGAGGTTCACGTTGGAAGCGCGCGACATGTTTTTGGGTGAAGAGTTTATGCGGCGCCGCGTTTGATTTGAGTTGAATATGAGTCACTTTGAAGGGATTTTGTCTGAAACAGTACGACTGTACAGACATCTTAACGATCCGACCATGCGTGATCACCATTGAGATAACCTGGCCAATAATTCTTGGATAGAAATAGTAACAGCCGTGGAAAGGAAGTGTTTTGTTAAAAAGTTTGGAAAAACCTGGGGTATAAGTTTGTTACAACAAAAAAGAGGCCATGGCAAAAGTGGAGACCCAGGTGGTTTTAATATTACAGAATATGTTTTTCCACCATTTGTAGGTTTTACACTGATGTATATTTT